CGAAGCACAAATGTGGATTTAACGATGATTTGTACAAGAAATTCCACACTTTCCGTTGCGTTCGGGACAAGTGTGAGTCCATGTGCACAGTGTATAAAGCAGCACATATGTTTCTGTGTCCAGTGGGAAAAAGTTTTTCCAGGTGAGAGTCGCTCAATGTGGATGACGAGGCCCCGCCCCCCTCTCCCCCCGTACGCTGTCCTGGTTTTGACAAACACAAATCTGGTCACACTAACCTGTATTCACCTGAGTCATGTCTTTTAATCCAACAGAAGTTGAACCACATCAGTGACACAAAAGCTGTTTTTTTTTTTTTTAATCTTCGCTTAATTTATGCAAATTAGCCATGCAGTTTTAAGTTGTTTCTGTGAGTTGAGCAAATCTGCATTAAACACATGATAATCTAAAACGGGCTGATGTGGCTCTAGAGTCGTTACAGTTTATATGTCGTAAAGTTGAATTTTTTTATGCAGATTAGTAGTGCAGATAGTAATAATAATGATGATCATTTTAATATAAAAACGTTAATGATTAATTGATAATCGAGCTTTAATTCTTCCGACGATCGATTAAGAAAATTTCATTGAATGCCCGTCCCTACTGGAAACGTCCAGTTCACACACGAAGAAGAAACAAACAATACAATAAGTTTCCTGGACATGAAAATTACACACAGGGAAGATGGCCGCCCGGGAGCCGCCCGGGAGCCGCCCGGGAGCCGCCCGGGAGCCGCCCGGGAGCCGCCCGGAGCCGCCCGGGAGCCGCCCGGGAGCCGCCCGGAGCCCCCGGGCCGCGGGAGCCGCCCGGGAGCCGCCCGGTGCCAGAGGAGATGGGGCAGATGTGACCCGTAAACTGCCTATTTTGTTATAAGAAAGTCTATATTACAGAAGTGGCTGAAGCTCCACTATTACAGGACTGATTTTCTGCTTTTCCTCTTAATCCTAATAAAGAAGAAGTATACAGATAATGAATGTATTTTTTTCTTCAATCGCCACCTCCTCTGTCTCTGATTTTCATTTTTTATGCATAAATAAAATTAACAGTAAAATGAACCATGACTCGTTTTGTTTTAAAATGTCCTGTCACACACACACACACACACACACACACTACGCACAGACACACACTACGAACAGACACACTGTGCACACACACACACAGACACACACACACACTACGCACAGAGACACACACTACACACAGACAGACACACACAGACACACACACTACGCACACTAGAGATGCGCGGATGGGCTATTTTTTCATCCGCAACCGCGACACAAAACTCATCATCCGCCCGCTGTCCATTTTGCACCGAAGGTTTTCAAAACCGCACCCGCCCGCCATCTGCCCATTGATTTTAGATTTTAGAACAATCATACAGCAAACAAACTAAGGAGCCTCGATAAAAATGCAAACTCTATAGCTCATTCATTCCAAAATTGGCTCAGCGTGTATGTTCACATTCTTAATTGTCCGTAACAACCCCAGACTTACCTGGTTTTCTTGCGCAGCTAATTAATTGACAACGTTTTCCGATGAGGCTATTTTTGAACCTTCTTGCCTTCGTGTTGGATGTTGTTACATTCTGAACATTCTGCCATTGCCCGATGTTATTTCAAAGTCATAGCCTCACTCCATCGGTCTTTCTTTAAGTTTTAAAAACCCCGAGTGGCAGTCTACGCTATAATGTCTGCGTGTTTTAAAATATAACTGATATCGAAACAAAATAGACACATCATCTCATCCAGATGAACCTTTATTGAAATCAGGCAATACCCTCTTTATATTCCAATTGAAATAGGCAAGAAAAAATATGCATAACTAAATAAATATGGCCTTATAGCCACTTATGTGTTGGCAAACAGCTGAAATAAATTAGAAATAATAAAATAAACTGCATATAATATGTGCCTCGTAAACCTTAGGCATCAATAACCCGACACAACCTTAACCTTCAGAACATAAAAACGAGGTCAAATGGGCTAATTAAACTGGGCTAATGGGCTAATAAACACAACCCAGTGGATTATGTGTGTTCTTTTTGTGACAGAAGAGGTGCTGATGATGTTAAGTGTGTCCTGTGCGTGTAGCGTACAGGAGATACTTCATGTTTTAGCTTTTCAGCGATCATACGTGTGCAGATTGTATGTGTGCAGGTTTAGCGCATCTCTTTATTTCAGTCATTTCACTCATGTATGGTCACTTTATTTATGTTAGTGACGTTATTTATATTCTTCAATTTATTTATGTCGCTACTGTTGAGGGGAAAAGACTGGAAAATGTTCATGTCCCAAGACTGCACGTGTATGTGTAAGTGTGTATTGTCTTGTCTCCTGCAGCTGCCCAGCCCCCCTCTCTGAGCCCTGATCTGACTCAAAACATTAAACAAGAACAAAACGTCAGACAGGAGGAGGAACAGCTGCAAGTGTGAGTCTCAGACACTTTCAAACTGCAGTTCTTTATTTGGTTATTTCTCTCATTATTCATTTCTTTATTTCACATCCACAGAGAGGACACACAGGAAGAGGACAACAGAGCAGAGACACACGTCCACAGAGAGGACACACAGGAAGAGGACAACAGAGCAGAGACACATGTCCACAGAGAGGACACACAGGAAGAGGACAACAGAGCAGAGACACACGTCCACAGAGAGGACACACAAGAAGAGGACAACAGAGCAGAGACACACGTCCACAGAGAGGACACACAGGAAGAGGACAACAGAGCAGAGACACACGTCCACAGAGAGGACACACAAGAAGAGGACAACAGAGCAGAGACACACGTCCACAGAGACACACAGGAGAGGACACAGAGACACACGTCACAGAGAGGACACACAGGAAAGGACAACAGAGCAGAGACACACGTCCACAGAGAGGACACACAGGAAGAGGACAACAGAGCAGAGACACACGTCCACAGAGAGGACACACAGGAAGAGGACAACAGAGCAGAGACACACGTCCACAGAGAGGACACACAGGAAGAGGACAACAGAGCAGAGACACACGTCCACAGAGAGGACACACAAGAAGAGGACAACAGAGCAGAGACACACGTCCACAGAGAGGACACACAGGAAGAGGACAACAGAGCAGAGACACACGTCCACAGAGAGGACACACAAGAAGAGGACAACAGAGCAGAGACACACGTCCACAGAGAGGACACACAGAAGAGGACAACAGAGCAGAGACACACGTCCACAGAGAGGACACACAGGAAGAGGACAACAGAGCAGAGACACACGTCCACAGAGAGGACACACAGGAAGAGGACAACAGAGCAGAGACACACGTCCACAGAGAGGACACACAGGAAGAGGACAACAGAGCAGAGACACACGTCCACAGAGAGGACACACAGGAAGAGGACCACAGAGCAGAGACACACGTCCACTCGGAGACCGAAGGAGAGACAGAACACTCTTCTGACACTGACAGTGATGAAGACTGGAGGGCTCCACTCAGCCATTCACACATGGACACAGGGTCTGACGAAGACGAGTCTGCACCAGAGACCAGAGCCACCGTGAACACTGGAGACATGTCAGGAACTGGAGAAGGAGATGAGGGCAAGAAACCCAAGTGCTCTGTTTGTAAAGAGAGATTTGGGTCTAAATATAAACTACAAATACACTGCAGAGTTCACACAGGAGCAGAACCTTTCAGCTGTTCAGTCTGTAAGAAAGAGTTTGCTCATAGATCTGCTCTCAAAACACACATGAGGACACACACAGGAGCAGAACCTTTCAGCTGTTCAGTCTATAAGAAAGAGTTTGCTCATAGATCTGCTCTCAAAACACACATGAGGACACACACAGGAGCAGAACCTTTCAGCTGTTCAGTCTGTAAGAAAGAGTTTGCTCATAGATCTGCTCTCAAAACACACATGAGGACACACACAGGAGCAGAACCTTTCAGCTGTTCAGTCTATAAGAAAGAGTTTGCTCATAGCTCTAATCGCAAAAGACATATGAGGATCCACAATAGACCGCATGTCTAACGCTCTAGCCTCCGCTTTCCAAAAATAATCCTATTTGTAATATAGAGCCTGGTTTCATTTGTTTAATTCTGCTTTTTATTTGTTTATTATTGCAGTTTGTGTATTTGCCAGTTTATTGTACATTTTCAAGAGTTTTTAGGGATAAGTAAGTTATAAGTAAGTTATTATCGTTTCTTGTCAATTTATTTTCAAAAAAATATATTTTATTTCAAAATGTGTAATCCTTTTCTACTGTTCTCAATTTCAAAATCACTTTAGTTTTTCTCCCAATATATTACATAATTTTGATCTTTTTATTCATGCATTATATTATTTTTGAATTTGAATGTCTGTAAATTGAATCTGTATATATGTAAGAAATAATAAACCTAATCTTCAACATTACCAAGTGCAGCCACAGAGGGCGCTGTTGTCTAAAAAAATAAATAAATTAAAATCTAAATAAATGTGTTCATTACTGGACTTCCGATTTAAACACATTTGTATCCTGACGTGTTAACTCCAAAATCACCATTAGGCCCTATTTGTATTAAATGTTAGTTTTAGTTTCTGTATTACAAGAAATAATTTAGTGTATGAGTTTGAATTTGAAACATATTATACAAATATACTTAAGATTCAGAACAAAAACTATTCAAACATCTTCAAATTCAGAATCTGATGGGAGCAAATTATCTTTCTCACGTGTCACTTGGATCTGAGACAGGTCAAATGTCTCTAGTCAATCTGCAGATCCCAAACAACTGAAACTCTGAAAGATGAAAAATGAAAAACGCAGAGGACATATTTCTCTTTGGGGACAATTTAACTCGACCGACTAAAGCCAAGCACACAGGTCATAATGTTCACAAGCAGCTTTTATTGTCAACATAACCGCACAAATGTCAGTAGTTCTGCAACAGCAAATAAAACAATAAATTAACATGATAAACTTAAAAAAACAAAAAAAAAAAAAACAGATCCAATGTCTCTAGAAATGTGGTGTGTGGGTCCTTCAGGCTCCTCCCTCAGTGTCCTGTTCAGGAGCTCTTCTCGAAGGCTTCGGGAGGTCCAGGTTCAGCCGGTGCTCTTGAACTCCCCGCTCTTGGTGATGGACAGTTTGCTGGGGCTGGTGGGGGACAGGCCGTTGCGCAGGTTGGCTGTGGTGTAGCGCTCTTTGACCTGGGTTAAAGCCGAGATGAGGCGGGAGTTCGCCGCGTCCAGAGAGAGGATCCGCTTCTCCTGATGGACACAAGATGGACAAAAGGTTAGTTTAGGGTTTATTTTTTATATATAGCGTATTTTTCTGATTATAAGTCACGCTTTTTTTCATGGTTTGGGTGTTTTCTGCAGCTTATATATTAAAATTTTCACACTGAAGCGGCGAGAGATTCTAGTCTTGTGTGTGAGTATCTGCTGCTCCTGTTCCTCCTGTACCACTGTCACTTCACTCTACTGCACATGTCTCCTGCAGAAAGAGCCTCTGTTCTGTCTGTATCATGTCAGTCGATCGCACCATTACTTCTGCACCACTGAACAATTTAACATTTAAACAAACTTGTAAAGACGACTGAGAAGACTGAACACAAATGAACCCAAAAAGAAAATCATATTTTGCAGATTACAAACTGTGAGTAGTGAAATCTGCAGCTGAAAACGGTAATCGAGCAGCAGAAAGAAAGTTCAGAGTGAGAGACCCACGGAGAGTTCCACACCTCACAGAGGTAAGCGCATCACTTTAGAATCACACTGTTAGCAATCGAACATTGATGTAAATTGGGCTGAATACATTCTGTACTGTACAGGAGACACGACAGGGAAGAGACTGATTGACAATGGTCTACAATCCCTTAGCCAATCAGGACGCAGGGAGAGGAACACAATATGTATTCATATGCTGTATAAAAGAAGCATGCAAAATTGCAAATAAATAAATAAATAAATAAGCGACACAGTTATTGCGGTTTTGAGGGACAACTGTATCTAAAATATTGAAACATGTTGTGAGAAGGTGTGTCTAACGTCTGACCGGTCGTGTAGAAGCAGCACCCCCTGTGGACAGAGAGTGGTACAACAGCTGATTGTGCATTAAAATCTAAATCCTGTACAGCAGTGTTTTCCAAAGACTGGATCGCGACCCTCACATTGGTCCCAAGAGATTTTCTTGTCACGATTTGCTTTTATGTCTTCAATATACAGTTGTGACACTGATCTGCGTGTTGCGCTCTCCTCTTCATTTAATGTCCAAATAGGCGACTTATGGAACCTTTAATGACTCTTTTTCATTATTTAAAACTACTTGAGTGATACTAATTGTTCAGTCACTCAGTCAACAATAAAATATCCTCATTAATGTTCAGTAATACTCAAATCCACCTTTATTTTGTGATTTATGAATAATGTCTATTGACTTTGGTCACAAAGTTTTGTGACTTAAAATATGGGTAAAGTTTGAGAAACACTGGTGCAAAGTTTTACCTGAGCGTCTATGATCTTCTGCTTGGCCTCTGTGACGGCCTGCATCTCTGCATGGTCCCTGTGGAGCTCCTCCTCCACCGCCAACAGCCTGCACATGCACACAAACACACACACACGTGAACAATGGGAAATACTCTCACAGCACAATATATTGCCAGAGTCAGACCTTTTCTCTCTCAAGCCAGTGCAGAGACTTTAATACATGCTTTTATTACAAATCGTGTTGATTATTGTAATGCTCTCCTTTCTGGTCTTCCAAAGAAATCTACAGCTCCACTACAGCTCCTCCAAAACTCTGCAGCACGACTGCTGACAAGGACCAGGAAGCGAGAGCACATCACCCCAGTACTGAAGTCTCTGCACTGGCTCCTGTGAGCTTCAGGAGAGATTTTAAAGTTCTTTTATTGGTTTATAAAGCTCTTAATGGTCTAAGTCCTATTTATTTATCTGATCTGCTTTTATCATATGAGCCTCTCGGACTCTCAGGTCCTCAGGTAGTCTTCTTTTAACTGTCCCAAGAGTTCAAACTAAAACTCACATGGTGAGGCGTCTCTTAGCTTTTACGGCCCCCGTTTGTGGAACAGTCGACCTGAGGATCTGAGGTCCACTGTGAGTGTTCATATTTTTAAAAGTAAACTTAAAACATATCTTTTTAATTTAGCTTTTAACTGAAACTTTTACCTGTTTTAACTTAAATTATCATTATTATTGGTATTATTATAGTTGTTTTAAATTAAATTATCATTACTGTTTTACTTAGTCTCCATCTGATCTTAGCTGTATGTTTTCATTTTTACTATAACTTTTAAGAGCTTTATGTTTATTAGTTTTTAGTTTTTATGTTTCTGTTTAAATTGTTGTATATATGGGGGGGGTTAATTAATGTATTGAAATTTTTCTGTTGCATGTGAAGCACTTTGTGCTACATTTCAAATGTATGAAAAGTGCTATAGAAATAAAGTTTGATTTGATTGAATATAAACTGGTCAAATGCATCATAGTTAACCCACAGAACAGACGTGGGCATTGTCCAGCTCCTGGGCCACATACAGCCCCTTTGGTCAACTCTGACTGGCCTATTTAAGCTCATTTGGAATTACAAAATAAACTTATTTTATCATTTTTCCTCATGTGTGAACTAAAAGCTGCATTTCTTTTATTAAATTATATGTTTTTTTTTTTATAAAATTTTTGTAAGACAACCTCACTTTTTCATTGTTTAGTAAAGGTGTAATGGTGCATGTATTTGTGCCGAACCGTTTCAGTACAGGACGTTCGCTGTAGGTCTGTGCACGATTGAGTTTGCGCAATTCGTGTGTGTTTACATTTCGCCACTACATGTGCAGCTACACGGAGGCTCAACTCTTTAAATCAGCTGACCGGACACGTCACAGCAACATCACCTGACCACTCTGAGGAAAAGCGCAGGGAGCAGTCGAAACTGTCAGGTATGAAAACAAAACTCTAGGTCTGCAAAAAGAACCTAATAACATAATGTTTCTACTTTAATTTTCCCACATAAACTGCCCCTTGACTGATGAAAAACTATGATCCATATTCAGCACAGGTGCTGTCCACCAGAGCACGAGAGCCTGTCACTTTAAGGAAGTACTCTTGTGTTCTGTTGTACCTCGGTAGTCACTGCTGAGTAGACACTTTGCATAATGCAGTTCTAATTTGTACACTAATTCCTAACACCCAGATTACAAGTTAATGACAGCAAATCCACTGAAGCACGATGACAGACGATAAATAAAACATGTACGAGAGGAAGACTCGAGCTAATCCTCCACACAAACTGAACACGTCCCAGAGAACAGGAGTGGGATTTCAGTCTCGGAACATTTGGGAACACGTGTAGGTACTGATTATGGAAAGTGTTTAACATGTACAAACATTTGGAGGATAAATGTGGATTAAATCGAGACTGTAGACTCACATTTTAAAAGCCCTGTACCAGATTTTTCCCCACGTGTGTTTAAGCAAAATGTATCTTGCCCCAGTACAGATACAGAGAGCAGCTCTTGAAGTTAAAACAAGTCCGTCCTGCTGTCGAATTATGAAGCCTTTTTTATTGTCTGATAATCAGTGTTGGGGAGTAACAGATTACATGTACCGGAGTTACATAATCACAGTACAAATTATGAGTAACTGTATTCAGTTACAGTTACTGTTTCAGTGAGCGGTAATTGGATTACAGTTACTTTGTTGAAATAAATGGATTACACAGCGGTATTTTCCTGTTTTCACATTTTGGGCTAAATCCTTTTTTTTTTTTTTCAGTAATTCCACTCATTGCCGGACACTAAACCAGGTCTAAACCAGGTCTAAAACCAGGTCTAAACTAGATCTAAACCAGAACTAAACCAGGACTAAAACCAGGTCTAAACTAGATTGAAACCACAACTAAGCCAGGACTAAACTAGGACTAAAACCAGGTCTAAACCAGATCTAAATCAGGACTAAATCAGGTCTAAACCAGGAGTAAACCAGGACTAAAACAGAATTTAACAGGACTAAATCCTGCTGTGTGGACGTGTCTCCTTCTCTTCTATCAATAATATTTTTTAAGTCTGGACTTTTTATTTTCTTTTAGCAGATAAAACAAAACATCTTATGTGAAGACTTCTTCTTCTTTGCTTCTCTACGGCAAATCAAGTAATCCAAAGTATTCAGATTACATTACTCACTTTAAGTAATTTAATGGATTACGTTACAAACTACATTTTGGGCTACGTAATCTGTAATCTGTAGGGGAATACATTTTAAAAGTCACCTTCCCAACACTGCTGATAGTCAAGAAGTGGGCGTTAGTATTAGGGTTGTTTTAATACCGATACTGGTATTGGAAAAAGCTTGGATACTGCACATTTTCCAGGCATCACTATCGACTCCAGCACCCAAAATCACAGATCTGATACCACTTTGTGTTTATATTATTAGGTTCTTTTTTTTTCAGATCAGAGTTTGTTTTCATAGCCTCTTAGCGTTTTGGCGGTGAATTACTCAGATGAATTCGTGGAAGGTCTGGAGCTGAGATCGTTCCGTCTCTGGAGCCACTTTCCATTGGATTAGTGTGGACGAACACTGCATCTGCAACCAAAACAACTCCAGTATGTACCAGTGTGGACGGGGCCTCAGTTAGACCTTTTAACATGTAACCACTTGTAGTCAGTGTTGGGAAGGTGACTTTTAAAATGTAATCCCCTACAGATTACAGATTACATACCCCAAAATGTAGTTTGTAACAGAATCCATTAAATTACTTAAAGTGAGTAACGTAATCTGAAAAACTGAACCAAATTAAAAATATGATTGATAGAAGACGAGGAGACACGTCCACACAGCAGGATTTAGTCCTGTTCAATCCTGTTTGAGACATAGTTTAGACCTGGTTTAGACCTGGTTTTAGAACAGGTTTAGACCTGGTGTTAGACCTGGTTTAGACCTGGTTTAGACCAGGGTTTAGACCTGGTTTGGACCTGGTTTTAGGCCTGGTTTTAGACCTTGTTTTAGACCTGGTTTAGACCTGGTTTAGACCAGGGTTTAGACCTGGTTTGGACCTGGTTTTAGGGCTGGTTTTAGACCTGGTTTTAGACCTGGTTTTAGACCTGATTTAGACCTGGTTTAGACCTGGTTTTAGAACAGGTTTAGACCTGGTTTTAGACCTGGTTTAGACCTGGTTTTAGACCTGGTTTAGACCTGGTTTAGACCTGGGTTTAGACCTGGTTTAGACCTGGTTTAGACCTGGTTTTAGACCTGGTTTAGACCTGGTTTAGACCTGGTTTAGACCTGGTTTAGACCTGGTTTAGACCTGGTTTAGATGGTTTAGACCTGGTTTAAAAAAAAAGTGAAATAGTGAAATGTGAAAAAAATGTGAAAACAGGAAAACACCTCTGTGTAATCCATTTATTTCAACAAAGTAACTGTAATCCAATTACAACTCACTGAAACAGTAACTGTAACTGAATACAGTTACTCATAATTTGTACTCTGATTACATAACTCCAGTACATGTAATCTGTTACTCTCCAACACTCCTTGTAGTCCTAGTCCAACGATTTTAAAGTTGTAGCTGCCTATGTCCTAATTTGTGTAACTTTTCCGGTTGCAGGCCCATGGAGATGTTATTGCTTTGTCGGGAATGTCTCACAGTGTGGCATTAAACCTTTCTATCTTCATGGAGACTAACCAGAAGAAGTTACAGGTCAGGTCTGCGGAGAGGCGACCACGCTCACAGTCAGAAGGTCTGTTTTTCTAGGTATTTTTGAGCTATAAAACCACCTGTAATTGAATAAATGTAATGTAGAGCTGTTTAATGTCACACTGTGGAACATTCCAGGCAGAGCAATGACATGTCCATAGAAACAAGCAGGTGACAGACCCTCAACTGAAAAGTTACGCAAACAAACAACAAATATCAACAAAAATATAATGATTTTAGTTGAATTAAATACATTTCTACATGCCGTCTGTTTTATTTCTTCTTTTTCTCCCGAGCCTTATTTTGTTCTCACTGTACACACTGTCCCAGCGTGTTCATTAAAATTCCCATTTACCAAACAGGGCCTGCATTATCACATTTTATCACCACAGATAAAGCACCACAAATGCACTGGAGCTCAGAGAGGAGGCTGGGACCGAGGGCCATTATCACTCTTATTTATGAGCCCGTGAAATTAGCAGTCTGTGTTATGGTACGTAATTAGTCAAGGGGACAGTAAAATGTGAACGCAATGGGAAATAAAACAAGCGTATGGAGTTGTCAACGGCAACATCGCATTTTCAAACACTCCAAGCTGATATAAGGACCTCCTGCTGACGGGGAGATGTAGGAGGTGAAGAGAAAAAATAATCATAGTTTTATAAATGAAAATTGTGCTCTAGGTTAATTAAAGGTGCACATCGCAACTTTTCTTGTGGAAGGTTTGCTACCTACATGTCTCCGTAGAGATGTCACTGCTTTGACAGGAATGTTCCATGGTATGACATTAAATGTATCCGTCCAGCATTTATTCATTATGTTTCTGTTGCTCAAAAATACAGTAATTCCTTCTGTGGATATGGCAACTCTCCACAGATCTGAACTGTAATGT